AAAAAAAAAAAAAAAAAAGAGAGAGAAGGAATGAAGCATTGCTTGTGTGTGGTGGGAAGAACAGACCAAGGACGGAGAAATCTACATTAGAGCCTCACTCCTGCCTCATACTACCATGTTTCCCCAAAAATAAGACACTGTCTTATATTTATTTTTTCTCAAGAAGACACACTAGGGCTTATTTTCAGGGGGTGTCTTCCTCTCTGTGCTGCATAGCCATACCCATCACTAGGTCTTATTATGGGGGTAGGACTTATATATTTAACAAATGCATAGAAATCCTGCTAGGGCTTATTTTGGGGGGTAGGTCTTATTTTCAGGGAAACACAGTAGCTGTCTGTGGACATGTAACTTGTCGCCTTTGAGCCTCAGCATCCTCACAGGTAATGACAGGCAGTGGACACCATCACCTCCGAGTCTGATTCTAATTCTGACAGTCTGTTGTCACCATGCCCGCATAAAGGACGCTGGCCCTTTCACCTGTGGAAAATCTTTCTGTAGCTTCAACTCATTTCATCCTGGACTTTGAAGCGCAGCTTGGCACTGCTGCCTGTTCCAGCTCCCCAGGGAATCAGGCCTTTGTCTCTGACTCCATCTAGCAGCTGCTTCATAATAATCTGAGCCCAAATAGCTCTTTTCAGTACCAAGGACCTCCAGCAGCCCAAGAAAGACCTGAAACATTTTTCAATGTTCCAATTCAGAACCTTTGGCTGATTTGGATGCTATTTCTTTCTTTTTTACACTCAGAGCCCTAACAGTCATTGAAGCACACAACATGACCCAAATCATGCTCCGGTAAGCCCATACAGTCCGTACCCTGCATCACTTTGGGGGCGCCATTCACACAGACCCTAATATGAGTGATGTTCCTGGGAGCTGTGCAATGTGGCGGCCCTGACTCAGCACACTGCAGAGGCCGCCTTACCTCTCAGTGCTGTAGTCTCCTGGTGAAAAGCTCAGGCTCTGGAGCCACATTGCTGGGTTTTTAAATCTTCTTTCTATCATCAGTGCACCCTGGGCAAATCGGTTTTGTTTCCTCAACTATAAAATGTAGATCACCACCACCACCTCACAGAGATGTAAGATTAAATAAGTTTGTTCATATAAAGTTCTCAGCACGGCACGTCGTTCAGACAGAGCACTCAATAAGTTTTAGTGGCTATTAGCTGGTATTTTGGTTATTGTTCTGTCAGAACAATCATTTCCCAGTTTGTTGGAGGAAAGACCAAGCTTCCTAGAGGTTCTGGAGCCACGCACAAGGTTCTGGACCCCTAGTCAGGATTTCTTTCTCCCTCTTCAATTCCTCCAGTTGGTATAAAACCAGACTCTGTAGTAGGAAGATTTTAGAATTAGGCATCAGGACGTTGCAATTCAAATTCTTATTCTCTGGGTTCAAACACACTTGTTGGCTCTGTGACCCTGAGGAAGGCATTGAATCCTTTACTATACACATTTTTCTTTTCGAGTTTTTGGCCAGGGCTGGGTTTGAACCTGCCACCTCCAGTATACAGGGCCAGTGCTCTACTCCTTTAAGCCACAGGCTCCGCCCCTCATTTTTTCTATAAAAGGAAAGAGTCATGTTTTGAGTTGTCAGGATCAAATGAAGAATGCATGTGTGAGCATTTCACTGGGTGAGTCTCTAAGATGGCTTACATCTTAATCAGACTCACATAGTTAGCCAGTGCGTCCGTTGACTTATCTGATGACCTGTAAAACAGTCCCTTTTTTAATGACTTCCCTCTCCTCTTATGTTTTACTTATAAGAATTGCCACTTCCCTCTTCACCCCTCCTCAAATCCTGCAACCTGGGCTGATCCTTGACCCTGTTTCCTGGCCCACAGGTGAATATTGACCACTTCACTAAGGACATCACAATGAAGAATCTGGTGGAACCTTCCCTGAGCAGCTTTGATGTGGCCCAGAAAAGAATCCATGCCCTGATGGAGAAGGATTCCCTGCCTCGCTTTGTGCGCTCTGAGTTTTACCAAGAGCTAATTAAGTAGCAATTTAGTCAGGCTATGAGAGTCACCGTGAGTTATTTCCTTCACGATAACCCTGCATTTGCTAGTCACCCGCATACCGGCCCACAGCAGCTTTGCTCAAAGATACCCAGGAGTATTGCTTACTCTTTTACCCCCCACATTGTTTTGGGTGTTCATCGATGGTCCAAATGCTTTCTTTCCCCACTTTCCTCTTCCTGCCCCATTCTTAATTGACCTCTGCTCTGTTAATAGACCCCAGGAGAACCACAGAAAAATCCTGACTCGGGCAAAGAATTCTAAAACAGAATGTATCACTGACTGTGGCCGTAGATGTCCACCTAAACTGATCTGAAAAAGATTGTGGATGTGGAAAAACCCATTACAAGGGGGCTTACCAGATTTCCCTTATTTTGCTTCTGATCCAGGGAGATCACGCCTCCAATTTCTGCATTTGGTTAGTAAAATGTGATATGATTTTTATGAGACAGTCACTGTTTGATATTTGAAGCAAATTGTGCAATCTTTAAAATATTGATTTTCCCTTGGGGCACCCTCATGTTACCTGGATATGAGTAAGAGACACACCATGACCATAGAAATGTGTTGTTTATAGCACATCGATCTAAACACGATCTACAGTGATTCTTTCCTTGTGCCTTCCTCACTGCCCGCCCCCCGACAAAGTTACCAAATTCCGTTTTGAATCAACAAGTTAAAGTCAAAAATGATTTTATAAATGTGTCTATGACTCTAGGATGTAGGTCAAATATTTCAGTTTCCAAATTATTTGATATCTTTGTGGTTATAAAATTCCGAGATTTCTGATTCTAATCATGTAAAACATGACTGTTCATCCAGTCGGGCGGTCTCCAACCGCAGTATCAAGAGGGCTGTACTCAAAAGGGAAATTGTTGTCAGGTTTAAATCACTAATCATCCTATGGTGCTGTCACCATAGAACAATGATAATTATCTTCAAAACACCAAATCATCCCTGGAAAACGTAATGTGACTATATAGAGAGGGTTTTTCTAAGAGTTCTCAAGTATCCTGCCTTTTGCAAAAAGAAAAATAATAATAATAATAATGATGTGATCTAATCTTCTTTCACCATTTTGCTTCCTGCATTAGCAAATTGTGCTTCTAGTCAAAAGTATAGATTCGTACTCCTGATATGCCTCATACACAGCTAGTTGGCAGGCCATGGTATTCTTAGTAGGTTTAAACTGCTAATTCTGTATTTTATTATTAAGTTTTGCTAGAATTTTTTCTAATCTTTAGTAGATTTTATTAAGTAATGACACACACAATTTAGTGATAAATAAAATCAAACTAAACCATGTATGAGGGTAATCAAGATCAGGGTAGTGAGTTAATTCAAAAGGAAGAGGGTGTTTTTTAAGGATCAGTAAAATTCCGCACTGGTTCAGTAGAAGATTACCTTGTTCAGTCTTGGTTTCCTCTTTTTGGTTCCGTTTTTACTCCACACTCTCCTGGTTTCCCATAGGTAGCTCATTTATTCAGTTATTTACTAAGAATATTGACAATGAAGAAACTGTGTTACTCTGTTCTTCAGAAAAACACTAACCATGCTTGTTGGATTTTCCCTGGTTTTGTGATTTTGAAGGATTATATGCCTTTCCTGCAGACTTGCCACTTGATATTTTGAGACCCAGTAGAGTGACTGGGTCTGCAGGCAGCAAATGTCTGAATTCATTGTCTTTGTCATTATCGCCCGCTTCAAAGGAACTCCCTCCTCAGGCAGTTCAGGATGAGGCCAGATCAGCATTGTGATCGTGAAGTTCTCAACATCTGCCTCTGCCTAGGATTGACAAAGAACTCTGATACAGATTTCCAGGGTGCACTTCCAGAACCATCTTCTTCAATATCTGTCTGCACTGCCCCAAATGAGTAGGAAAAGCGCTAGCCTTTTACTTCTTAATGCAGCTAAAAATGTTAGGAACCTCTCAAAACGAGGTGAGTTGTTTTTATTTTTTTTGAATGCCAAAACATTTTCAGAAAAAAAATAATTAAAAATTCAAATATTTTATCCACGTTGTTTCAAATAGCCAAATGTTTGAAAATGCTCAGACAATTAACGAGATCCTAAAGATCTCACCCATGTAATTGATGTGATGAAGATTCCAATTAACTTACGCAAAGTTGACTGAACGTGGGAGGGCTTGTCCGTGAAAAAACAGTCCTTTGCCTTTTCATAAGCTGAATCCAGAAGGCAGAAGGTAGCAAAGTGGGTGCCGCAAATACAGCAAGGGTTGCAAAAAGAATGAGAGAAGGAATGTCCTCCAGTCAAATGGTGACATTGTATCCATCCACCTACATTTAGCTTGAAATTTAAAGCAGTCTGCTTTCACACTTACAGGCACATATTCAAAACTCTTCTTCTAGCATATGAAGTGATAAAATTAAAAATACAAATATTCTAGCCCCAAAGGAGAATCTAAACCGCTCTAGAAAATTTCTTTGAAAGCTTTTGAAAAGTTGTTTGAAACTTAGCAAAGAGAGGGAGAGGAAAAAAAAAAAAAAACACCTGTGTTACTAGTAGTTTCCATGGGAACACAAAGCAAATCCATTCTTTTCATTCTGGGAAATTAGAAAAAGTGGAATGATCTTTCCAGGAAAAAACATGTGTAACATCAATTTATCTCTCCCTTTCCCTCCTCCACCTCCTCGTCACTTTCCCTTGAGTAAATTGACTGGCAAAGTAGGAAGCTGGATGCAACAGCCCTGTGGTGCTTGTGTTTTCCTCTCTGGAGAAAAAGGAGAGTTGTGGGTGAATTTGGGATGTAGAAAGGCCGTGGACCCAAACCGTGGTCAATGAAAATAGGAGTATATGCTTCCAAGTTCCGAGAGAAACCTAAGATTAGCCCATGTAACAGCCCCTCACCTGTTTTTCTGCCTGGGCTTAGTATAATTTGGGGTTAAGGGTTTGGTTCAGATTAAGAGCTCCATTGACAAGCACAGAGAGACTAACTATAGACTCTACAGTTACTGAGGAGGCTATGTTCCATGTTTATCTGATAAAGCAAGACTTGTTCACATAAACGACAGTTCACCTTACCCACCACACACACACACACACACACACTTTTCTTTCTCTCGGATAGACACCTTTTGAAATGCACAACTGAGACATTTCAGTGACTTTGTTCTCAAATCAATAAAGTGAAATCTATGGAAACGTTTTGTGCCCAACTCCCCACACCCCGTGTACTCCAATTCTCTATTGTATGAATTATGCTTTAAGTAGATTTTAGTTTTTACTGCATAAAGAGAACGTAGTGAAAGAATTTGTTTTATTTCTATCCTCTACAAAGCCATGGATTTTACTTGGTTGATGTGATCTCTGCATGCACTATATTTCAATATGATGAAGCTATTAATTATTTCCCAAGGATAACAAGTGTGCAAAAGTTCTACTAAAAACTCGACCACGGACAAATCAATGGATAAACAAAGAAGTATTCCTTTCTAGGGCTTTGCCAAAATATGTTTATCCTATTACAAATTTGATAATTTGAGATTTATTTTAAAAGGTAGTTATATTTCAAGGAAATGGTTTCCATTCCCTCTAGCAGACTATTCTTCCTGTTTCTCAGGAATTTAGCAAGTTTAGAAGAGAATGGGTCATAAGAAGAAAGGGGAGAAAGGAGAGAAGGGAAGATGCAAAGAAGTGAGTACCCAGACCTAGGAACTTAATTCATTTGCTAGGAAACTTTTAAGAGCAATTCAGCTTGATCAAAACCAAGACTGCTTCTTACTGTCATCGTCCATATTTGAGGGAAGGCATTTCTTGACTCACAAGGCATGTAGATGAGAAAATTCATTTTAACATCCCAGAAAGCCTTGAGTCAAGAAAAGAACAAATATGGAAGACCTCCTCTCCCCATTTGGCTTGCATGAGCCAGAAAACAGAGAACAGAGAATGTGGTTTCCAACCTCCAAGCATCCAAACCCAAGGGCTAGGCAACTGTGTGTCGGTTTTCCTCTGAAGTCTTGGGACAGCTTAGTATGTCCTGACTGAACTGCTGTTAGACCTTCTGGTTTTCCAGTCTCTTCATTCTATTAGTCAACTCCGTATTTAACACTTGCTTGGTACAAGGCTCTCAAGTTAATAATTTAGCAGCAGCTCCGAGTGATACAGATACTCTTCACTAAATAGCTCATGTAGCAAATCAGAACAATAGATATTCCAAGAAAGGCTTTCCCAGCACCTCTTAACCATCCTCAAATTAAAAATGGTTGACTTTTCCAACTGAGGATTCACTGATGGCATTGAATGGCAGAGAGTGACAGGCCAAACAGACAAATGAAAGCAAAACATTTTGGAATACTACCCTCAACTCACAGTTGGATAATAATCTTATTTTTCTAGAAGCTCAAAAATTAACTTCTTAGCAGTCACATCCAGTTTAAAAGCCTCTTATAAGTTACCTATTCTTTCACCTGAGATATTTTTCCTCCCCACGTCATCCCTATGCCTCCCTTCCTCTTCTCCCCCTGCAAGAGAAATTACTTAACATAGTTGGATCTAACCACAATCTATAATAATATTTTAAAGGCATTTAACTTCCTAATGTAGGAAAATGTACAGTTTAAAGCAAAAAAACAAATGCTGAGAAATTTGCCATTGGAGAAAAGCAATCTAAATGATTTTTGCCAAAACTTTTTATGTTATATCAGGATTTTTTTAAGTTATCAGGATTTGAAGGAACAATTTAAAAAAAAACAAAACAAAACGTGTTACAACTTCCAGTTCATCTGCATGAGACACAGGCAGGAGAAGTGAAAGGTCTATAACTCCATTTGTAAGCTTTTTCTTGTATGTTTTTAATTTAGGAACAATTGTGATTATCTTCTGATTTTTGTATCCAATACTTTATGTACTGTGTGACTCACATTTCTTGATAAAGCACCAAACATGTATCTGTAACTACAATCACGTATATTAAATATATATCTGTATACAGCCTCATATGAGTCCTTATTGACTCCTAAGTATTTTTTATATGAAACATTCTTCCTTAAGGTAGGCTTTTCTCTTCTTACACCAGGGAGCCCTTGATCATTCAGGAGGATCATCACTAACAAGGGTCAGTTAGTAGCCCGACATGCAACCTCAGAAAGTGAGCAGGAAGTGCCTCAATCTCATACATTCTGGTGACTACTTTCTCTTGGATTCAGGTGATAACAACTTATCGACCCAGCGGCCATCACTGTTAGGAACTGATTGAGCCCATTATATTATTTGGATCCCGCAATATTCAGGGAGGATAGAAATTCCTTTCTCTTTCTGCACTGGGGAAAGATGCCAACGATCGAAAACCCAGGTGTTACTTCAAGCAGCTCAATTCTTAGATTTGGTGCTCAGTTTTTAGGCAATGTGTTAAGATCCTACAACAAGTGGGATTAGAACCATAAAAAGGAAAATGTAAATGCAGAAAGGAGCATAAATGGGAGCAGATTTACAGGGAGCATCCATGTGGAGAGGGAGACAGAGATTAACGATGGTATCTACCGTGGTCTCTGGCAAGTTTCTTGGTTCTCACCCCCCAGGTCCCATGAGGTCTATGTAACTTTAATAGAGATGTAAGGCTCTGGAATCACTTTGATACCACCTACTCTCCTCTGTATTTCAATTACCTCCAATGAGCTTCTGAGCATTTTCACCAAGAAGTAGGAGTACAGCAAATAGCAGGGATACTTCTCTGTCCCCCCCACCAGAAGAGTGACATTCTCCAGGTAACTCTCCAAATCAGTAGAACAAAAGAGCTTAGTGATCATGTGGACAGGCTCTGAGCCTCCCGTGGGAGCCCCTAAGCTAAAGGAATCACGTGATCCCTCAAGACATCAGGGTTACTGGCTTTAACTTGAGCAAAGCAGTATGGACCACTCCCCAGGTGGAAACCTGTTCTTTCATCAGTCAGGTGGGCCACGCTCTCCAAGCTATAAGATCTCCAAAGCACATCTTGCTGCTTTTTACCTTTCCTAAATCAGCAATGTCTTAAAAATCATTTTGCCCGCTAATCACTTTCTGACACATTAACTTTTCAGATGGCCTTTTCAATTCAGTGCATTCTGGCAAATTCCTGGTCCACTTTCCATGGTTTTCCACTTTTTGGTCAAGTCCTACCTTCTTAATGCTTGAATTCATTAAAGCAATGAGAAATGTGAATGGAAATTTTATTAAAAAGCAAAGTTTGCAAGGAGGCAGTCTTTGCACCATCTCTGGCAAGCAACCAGGCCTCTTGGCCAGATTAGCCGGGTCTCTTTGTTAATGGGACAGTTTTTCTAGTTGCTTTTGCTGCCACAGAAGGCTGTTGATGACAGGCAGGTAGAGGTGGATATGCCCACAGGCAACTTAGAGAGTCTTACACGTGTCTTCAAAAGGAGTGCCTTGTGACTTCCACTGGGAGGAACCATCTGTGACACAGGAGAAATAGACGCCTGCCACAGATCATGGTGCTAAGTGCCCAGAGCCTCCTGCTTCCAAGCAGAATTCTTGGAAAACATAAAAGACACTTGAAGAGGAATTGGAGCCCAGAGGCTTTAATGAATAGGGATGAATGGAAATTGATGTTCCTTCATTTCTTTTAACTGAACATTTATCTTGACCGCTTTTTAATTTAGCAACTAACACCTTAACTCCTATACCTATTTGAATCTCCTCCAACAATTTGACTGAAAATGAGCAGGGAGGTAATAAAGAAAAAAAATCCAGATTCAGAGAATGTCAGAGCTGGAACAGACTTTACCAGCGCTCTCACACACTCAGGATGGAAGTTCCCCGCTCTTGCCCTGCAAAGATTCTTTTCAGCTGCGATGCTGGCAGCTGGGGGGACACCGATGGAGCAAGGGAGGCACCAACTTGCCTGGCCAGTCCGTTCAGCCATACAGCCCCTGCTGATTATTTGGGTACCAGTCATCACACACAGAAGCAGCACTCAGGTATCCTAAGAGATTACTCTGCCCAATCTACTTTTGAAAGGTAAGGAAATCAAAGCCCATAGAGGTAAAATCATGTGTCCAAAGTTCTACATCTGGATTCTGGTATAATCCTTACAGATGCTCTGACTCCTATGGTAGGGTGTTTTTTCCTTGGAGCAAAATTCATGTAATGCCACATTTTCACATCTATAACAACATAATAGATGTTTTTGAAGTTGCTATCAAGGAACAATGAGATACTAGAAAAACAGTAGTATAGGCCCAGAAAAATCCTGCTTCTCAAAATAGATTCCTTTCCCCATCTCTGTAGTAGTTTTCTCAATGAGCTATCCTTTGGGGTTCACAAACCTTTTTTTTTTTTTTTTACATAAAAACTTTCCTACTAGAAAGTTATCAGCCATTCATACTTTACTGGGAATAACTGATAAGATGATACACATTGCTTATTTCTTAACATCTTCCTGAAGACAGCTGGAGAGATAGGGTGTTTGGATCAAAGGGAAGACTGGTTTGACTGAGGGAAAGGAGGATCTGTGTATGGAAATGTTATTGTTTGAAAACTGGTAATCCAGGCTCGGCGCCTGTGGCTCAAGTGGCTAAGGTGCCAGCCACATACACCTAAGGTGGTGGGTTCGAATCCAGCCTGGGCCACCAAACAACAATAACGGCTGCAACCAAAAAAAATAGCCGGGCGTTGTGGCGGGCGCCTGTGGTCTCAGCTACTTGGGAGGCTGAGGCAGGAGACTCGCTTGAGCCCAGGAGTTGGAGGTTGCTGTGAGCTGTAATGCCACGGCACTCTACCCAGGGGGACAGCTTGAGGCTCTGTCTCAAAAAAAAAAAAAAAAAAAAGAAAGAAAACTGGTAATCCATACGTGTGATACACAGCCCCATTCTGTGACACCACCAGGTACTAAATAAAGACTTATAGACACACAACAGGCTTTTATCCTATTTTACCCAAAATAGTGTTGATACACTATTTTATGAACAATCATGTATTAGCTTTACCCTTTTACTGAGATCTGAAGAACTGGCAGCATTTTTGATGCTGAATTTCCCAACTACCAACTGCAAACTATCACTTGCAATTTATTCCATTTTATTAAGCATCACCCATCACTTAAGAAGGCTCCTTTAACTACAAATTCTTATTAGAGGAGTAACACATAAAACCCTTAACTGCTTGTTCTTACAGGGGAAAAAACAGCTTAGAGCACATATCTGATCATGTCATTCTTCTGTTTAAAACCTTTTTGTGACTTTCCACGCTCTCAACCTCCAATAGGCTCCGGAGCCAGAGCATGGAGGGATCTTGTGGAGTCTACATATGTGCAGGCACCCTTCACTGTCTGTTGATGGAATAACACCTCATATATCCATGTCTTATTTAAAACTCAGTCAGGTACTGTTAGCAGCAGAATACAAATTTGCTTTTAAGATTTCCCAATTTTTGTTAACTTGTCTTTTTAAATATTTTAAATGTGTAGATAATGATATTATAGTTACTCTCATATGGATGCCCTCAAAAATCACTTCTAAGTCTTTTTTTTTTCTTTCACTCTTAGTCTTTAAAGGTGCTTTTCAGGCCTGGCACCTGTAACTAGGTGGTTAGGGTGCCGGGGCTGGTGGGTTTGAACCCACCCCAGGCTTGCTGAACAACAATGATAACTACAACAAAAAAATAGCTGGGCATTTTGGCTGGTGCCTGTAGTCCCAGCTACTTGGGAGGCTGAGGCAAGAGAATCGTGTAAGCCCAAGAGTTGGAGGTTGCTGTAAGCTGTGGTAGCACAGCACTCTACCAAGGGTGACAAAGTGAGATTCTGTCTCAACAACAACAACAAACAAAGATGCTTTTCACTCTAAGAATTTGAATGCTCTAGAGGATAGCTTCTTGAATCCTCAGCCTGATACTGGAGGTTCCTTAAACCAGCCAGGCCCACACATCTTGCTCCAAACACACTGTGGCGTCTCATGCTCTAGGCCTCACGCAGGGCAGGTCATTTCACTGCATTCAGTCTCATCTGGCCAATACCTACACATTTTCAAAGAATTAGCACACGGACATCCTCTTCTTCAGGGAGACTTTCTTCACCCCTGTCATATACCATCTAACCCAAATCAGGGACATTTCTCCAGCGTGGTGTGCTCCCACGAGAGGGATGTCCCTACCAACTAGACAGGGTAATTTTGTGGAACAGTCAGAGAATCTTCTTTGATAAACATTGGAAAAGCTAAGGTCTGGCATTTTAATTTCTGAAAAAGTCTGGACATGAAAACTTCCAGATACCCCTCTCCTCTTGGTAAGACAGACCAAGAAAGGAAATTAAACTTACTGTGGCTTTTTGCTATGCCTTTGGGAAACAACATCCCTCCCCAATCCTGGTGTTGACCAATGTGATAAATCCAAGTGAGAGAGAAGGGGAAGCTGGTCTACCAAGGCGGATGGGAAGCTGCTGAGACCGTCAATAAGCTCAAACCCTCCAGGCAGGCAGCCACCTACTTCATCTCTTTCAAGGCAGCGGTGCATTGAATTTTCTTAGCCCTGTAGCTTTTTGCTCCTTTTCTGGATAAGTAGGTCAGACATCTATCAGGCACTTATCCCTGTACATTCCCAGCCAATTTTCTAAAAAATAGAGAAAGTAAACGAATTAATTTTGATTACTTTTTGGTGGGTAGCTACTGTGACTTTTCATGGTAATGTCATTTCTCTTTCACCGCAGGGACGGAATGGGAACATGGGGATGACCTTGCTCCTTTGAAATTGCACATTATTTCTCTAAAAAGGTTAAACAGCATTTAGCAATTATAGATCTTTCACCTTGACAAATCTTCCCAGTTCAGTCTTTCTAGAATGACTAAGCATAAGTAGAGGAAGCAACAGAGTATATTTTTATAGCTTCTGAGAGGCATCCTCTGCTTTATTAAGTGTCTGATTATGAAGGTAAAGGCAATCAAAATCCAAATGAAGGCATTTACTCAGATCCTAGCTCCTCGAGGCAGTCAACAGACTGAAAAGGGCTCTCA